TGACAGTGCAGAGCCTGCTTGGGATTCTCTCTCCCCTCTCTCTCAAAGTAAATAAACTTTAAAAAGAACAAAAAGAATTTAAAAAATGGATTAGACTTCAGTGTAAAACCTAGAAATATAAAACTAGAAGAAAACATAGGAGAAAGCTTTTTGACACTGGTCTTGTAGTGATTCCTTGGATAAGAGAACAAAAACAAATGGGCCTACGTCAAACTAAAGAGGTCTGCGCAGCAATGGAAACAATAAATTGAAAAGCCAACCTACAGAATGGGAAAAAGTATTTGCAAACCATATCTGATAAAGACCTCCTACAACTCAGTCGCAAAAAAACAAATAATCTAAGTGAAAAATGGACAAAGGACCTGAATAGACATTTTTCCTAAGAAGACATACAGTTGGCCTACAGGTACATGAAAAGGTGTTCCACAACACTGATCATCAGGGAAATACCCATCAAAACCACAATGAGATACCACCTTACACCTATTATGATTGCTATTATCAAAAAGATAAGAGATAATGTTGGTAAGGATGTGGAAAAAAGGGAACTCTTATATACTGCTGGTGGGAATGTAAATTGGTATATCCGTTATGGAACACCATATGGCAGTTCCCCAAAAAATTAAAAATAGAACTGTCATGACCTAGCAGTCCCAGTCCCACGTATATATCTGTTTACCTATTCTGAACTTCAGTTCTTGTGACCCTTCTTCTGCCTTTCAGATCATTGTCTATTATGCTAATTTACAAAAGAGGCACATTAATAGGGTTTTGTTTTCCTCTGTTATCAGTGAGTAATCAAGCACCTACCTCAGGCTTTGACCCTCTCCTTTCCTCCTTGTCCTCTGAACATAACTTGAAAGAATCTTTGTATGACCCTTAACATTTTTCCAAGACTTGGCTCTTTTTAGCTTGCCCTTTGTGTTACTCCTTAGCTGCATTGCACTTCTTTTCCTCTTTTGTTTATAATCCTTTCAAAGGCTGGAGCTCTTAATGTATAGGAAAATGCCTGGCACACAGTGAGCACTAAGGAAATGTAAGTTGAATCTGATTTATTTTGTTTGTGGGCTTAGACCCTCTGTTAAACCTTGAGCTGCGGTCAGACCCTCTGGAGCCGTGGCCATGGCATCATATCAGTATTTTCTCTAACTTTTGTGTGGGCTTTTCTGTCGTTTGTATAACAGAAGAAATTTTCTGTTAGAAGGCAGATATTTAAATTAACACTTAAGTAATTATTAAACTGTTAGATAAAAATTGGTTTTATTACACGATCATAATAACACCATTGTTTTTGTTCTCTTAATTAGCTACCTGCGAAATGTGTGGGATGGTTGGTGTGCGAGATGCTTTTTACTCCAAAACAAAGCGTTTCTGTAGTGTTTCATGTTCAAGAAGCTATTCGTCAAACTCCAAGAAGGCAAGCATTTTGGCCAGACTTCAGGTAACGGTACAGAAACCTTCTTATTCTTTTTATCTGTTATTTCTATGGCTTTCACTGTTTATCTGTCATTGGATTGTGATTCACTGCACTCCACTTCTACCCAGTTGGCCAGTTACCATTTTATACCCCCCATTTTTTCAGAAATATGTGATCCCCAAAGTTTGTTCAGCCTGTAAAATTGAACAGCTATTATAATAGACAAGGCATACTATCCAAAGTAAACGATGAAACTGTTTAAGTGAATTAAAAACACCCTTTTTCTAAATAAGTATAAATGTAATAAACGCCTTGTTATATACAGAAATTGAAGCCATTTTTCCCCCCTGGTTTCCTTTTGAGTTAACATCAAGGTAGAATCAATGCAGCATTTGGGGGGAAATGATATACCCTGTGGTTCTACTTCTCCATCATATCTGCTTTGTACTTTTGATCACAGCCTGTTTGATACCTTGAACGATTGTGTTTGGTTAATCCAACTAACGTTTTTGAAAACGTTCATGGTATAAAAAGAAAATCATCTTTCTTTAAATGTACATCAATGCCTACAATACAAAATGGAGATTCGACCATTTGACTAAGTTGTTAACTATTGTAGCATATAAACAGTGTTTTTAAGGCATTTAACTGATTTTTGTAATATATTTTATTTGAGTGATCACATTTTTCTTATTCGCCTGTAATTGATTGTGATCCTTACATAGCACTGAAAGGATTTATAAAAATTCCCCAAATTAAGGAAATACATCACTTAGATGTATTTCTATATTTCAGATAGACAGTACCTAAGATCCTGAGCAGTGGTCTGTACCCAAATGGATGGCAGTTTGTCACACTGTGAATTTGGCCCATGATCATTTTGTCATTGATCTTTTGCGTTAGCACTAAAGGTATAAACCTCAGTCACTTGCTCTTTAAACATTAAATTATCTTCTCTTACCATATAAATAGCAATGCTTGGCAACCTGCATGAGTGAATAACCACTGGTTTTATCTAGTATAAGAAGGAATCAAGTATCCACCACAGCCTATATTTTAACATCTTATGGGATATAATTTTTTATTAACATATTAATTTGCATATTGCTGTTTTAGTCTGTGCCAGCTCTGCTACCCATAATAGATGTCTACATTGTAGCAGAACTCCAAAAACCAATTCTCATGTTAAAATTCCTTGTATGTTTCCTCTGCTTTAATAATTTTCTAAACCCTTGATGTTTACTTAAGCAGAATGAGTAGTATGCGATCAAGTTAATTTTTTCGGTGGAGGGGGATGAATGAAAAAGAATCCTATTTACTTAACTCTTCTTGTTTTAGGGTAAGCCTCCAACAAAGAAAGCAAAAGTTCTTCAGAAACAACCTTTAGTTGCTAAACTAGCTGCATATGCTCAGTATCAAGCTACCTTGCAAAATCAAGCAAAGACTAAAGCAGGTAATATTGGTGAATATAGTAGAAGTGAAATGTTTGATAATGATTCACCTAGTTTTAGTCAACATTTAAATTTTGGATTTTGTTAACTAAGCTATTTCTCTGTCCTACTAGTACATTATGACATTAGGCTTCCTGATGATGGTTTTGGTTTCAATAATTTATTCTAGGGGTACCTGGGTGGCTTAGTCAGTTAAGCGTCCAACTCTTGATTTCAGCTCAGGTCATGACCTCACGGTTTCAGAGTTCAAGCCCCACAGTGGGCTCTGCACTGGCAGCTCAGAGCCTGCTTGGGATTCTCTCTCTCTCTCTCTCTCTCTCTCTCTCTCTCTCTCTCTCTCTGCCTTACCCCTGCTCGCCTTGTCTCTCTCTCTTTCAAATAAACTTCATAAAAATAAATAAATACACAAACAATTCTAGAAGAGAGTAATTGTGTTGACAGTTTCACAGTGCTTGTGGCAATATCCTTAACGTATTTTATTGGGGGGGCGCCTAGGTGGCTCAGTTAGTTACACATCCAGCTTTGGCTCAGGTCATGATCTCATGGTTAGTGAGTTCCAGCCCTGAGTCAGGCTCTGTGCCAGCAGCTCGGAGCCTGCAGCCTGTTTCAGATCCTGTGTCTCCCTCTCTCGCTGCCCCTCCCCTGCTCACACCCTCTCTCAAAAATAAATAAAAAAATAATTCTGGGGTGCCTGAGTGGCACAGTCAGTTGAGCATCTGGCTCTTGCTTTCAGCCTAGGTAGAGATGTCACAGTTTGTGAGATCAATCCCCACATCAGACTCCATGCTGACAACACAGAGCCTGCTTGGGATTCTCTCTCTCCTCTCTCTCTGCCCTTCCCCTGCTCGCTAGCCCTCTCTCTCAAAAATAAATAAACATCAAAAAAAATTTTTTTTTAAATAATTTCAAAAACATTTTTTATTTGGTTATTTTCTGTGTTCCACTTCTATGCTGTGTCTGGTGGGGAGCATTATGGAGATAATAAGCAAAATGATAGGACATTTAGCGGGCTTCAAAGGTAGTGGGGAGATGAGAGTCATAAAAGGAAGAGATTGAGAAAGGATCATTTCTAGTAGATTTTTTTAAGTTTATTTTGAGAGAGAGAGAGAGAGAGAGAGAGAGAGAGCACAAGTGGGGGAGGGGCAGAGAGCGAGAGTCCCAAGCAGGCTTTGTGCTATCAGTGCAGCACCTGCCAGGGGCCTCAAATTCACAAACCACGAGATATGATCTGAGCCAAAGCCAAGAACCGGACACTTAACTGACTAAGCCATCTAGGGCCCCTGATAGAAGATTCTTAACAGGAAGGCAGAAGCAAGGAAGTATAGTAGGGACTGAAGCAATGAAAAACCCTAGTGAAGGTAAGGTATTAGTGGCAGATACTGGAGAGAAATCTCACTGAAAGGGGCACCTGGCTGCCTTAGTCAGAAGAGTGGCAACTATTTGTCTCAGGATCATGAGTTCGACCCCCACATTGGGTGTAGAGATTACTTAAAATTTTGGGGAAGCCTGAGTGGCTCAGTCAGTTAAGTGTCTGACTCTTGATTTCAGCTCAGGTTGTGATCTCATGATTCATGGGTTCAAGCCCTATGTTGTGCTCTCCGCTGACAGTGCAGAGCCTGCTTGGGATTCTCTCTCTCTCTCTCTCTCTCTCTCTCTCTTTCTGCTGCTCCCTCACTCATATTCGCTCGTGCTTGCTTTCAAAAATAAATAAATAAACTTTTATAAAACTTTATAAAAAAAGACATGGAGAAAGGGAGAGAAAGAATCTTAAGTATCTTAAGTTAACTGCATGCCCAGCACAGAGCCCTTTGCAGGACTCCCATCTCATGACCCTGAGATCATCACCTGAGCCAAAATCAAGAGTCAAATGGTTAACCAACTGAGCCACCCAGGTGCCCCCCAAAAAAACACTTCAAAAAAAAAAAGAAAGAAAGAAATCTCATTGAGATGCACAGTAAAAGCTACATGGGAATAAAAACCCAAAAGCAGCCATGGTAGTGTTTCTTATTCTGAACAGTTCTGCGCTCAGCTGTTCTTTGCTGCTTAGAACATGGAAGACTTAAGCTAATATTAGTTTTCAAATATCTATGTGAAAGTTCATGTTTATTTAGAAAAGTTCTTAAAATTTTGTAGGAGAAAAGAAAACTTTCAAGATGATGTTATTTTTTCTCTAAGTTTACTTATTTATTTTGAGAGAGAGAGAGAACAGGGGAGGGGCAGACAGAGAGGGAGAAAGAACAATCCCAGGAAGGCTCTGTGCTGCACGCAGAACCCAACATGGGGCTCAATCTCTCCGTGAGATTGTGACCTGAGCCAAAACCAAGAGACCGTTAACTCACTTGAACCACCCAGGTGCTCCAAATGATACGTTAGTTTTATGTCATTTCACATTTTCTCATAAATAAAAGATTTGAGCATTGTAATATATCTAAATTTATTTTTTTTCAGCAGCAGTCTCCATGGAAGGCTTCAGCTGGGGTAACTACATCAACAGCAATAGCTTTATAGCAGCTCCAGTTACCTGCTTTAAACATGTGAGTATGGAATTTCTCACCTTGTACTGAAATGCATTGTCATTGTTTAAATCTGAAGGTACAGCAACACCTAAGCATCTTACCTTTAGAAGATCTTTTTTTTTATACATTGTCATAAAAGTGCTAATTTTTAAATGATACTTATTAGTACCTAGAAATAACTTGTAGAAATTGTACAAGTAAACGCGTCCTACAAAGAAATTACAATTTGAAATTATTTGAATAGGGAAAAGTACTAGTCTCCTCCAATTTTCATATTAAGTTGAACCATATCCAGTGCTGGTTTTGTTGTATATCATGTGTATTGGCAATGTCACGTGGTTCAGTGTAACACAAAGCATCCATCATGCATGTGACCTAAATCTTTGTGGTCTGACCTGATAATTCAGAAAGGGAGGGATCTTTCTTCCAGTTATGTTTTGTCCTCAAGGGTAAAATCAGAAAAACAAAAAAAGAACTATTAGAAACATAGTATTGTGGCTGGAATACATGATATATCATGGAAACCCCTTTGCAGGATATTCTTTTTAGCAAGTAGATTCTTAGAGAGTATATGTTGTAATTCAGAAGTATGTTAAAAATTTTATCTGACAGTAGGTTCGTTCCTTTTGATCCTCTTCCTTTTTATTCAATTATTTGTGATTCTCTCCCATACGTTTTTGTACCTTTCTACAAGTTTAATTTATATTTAAAGGTTCTATCTGCTACTGACTATGTACAAAAAGAAAAGAGAATTTGGAAAATGAATGAATGAAATTTTGTTTATACTAAACATTTTGTTAAGTTAGCACTTTACTTTTAAATAACAGCATGTGGACAAGTGACCTTGAGTTCTTGCTGTGGAAACCCAAGTGAATTTTAATTTGTTCACGGCCAATAAAGGATCTTGATCAAGCCTGAGCTAATGAAATCAGTGGTAGAAATATAAAATAAAGCTCGAGTTCATTAATTTGCTAGTTTTCTTTCCTGAAAGCATAAGTGTTCAGCCCTTATGTGGTGGCATGCTGACCCTCTGAACCAAGCTAAGTAGAATCTTAGATACTTTTATCGTGGTGTAAAGTAGATAATTTGCTTTACATAATGTGGATAGTAGTGTCACTTTGTGAAATACATTACATACGTGGCAACAGCAACATTAAAGAGAATAGCAAAACAAATGTTTAACTCTTCTCTCTGTATTTCTTTCTGCTTTTCAGAAGCTCAAAATCAGATTAAGTTCTGTTATAATAACTCTTTTATCCCAAATACCTAGAACCTTTGCTGTCTCTTTCTGAATAGTCTTTATCTCTTTTCCTATCTTTAATATTTCGGTTTTTTCCTGTTTTGCTGTCATAAACCATGTAAAGCTGTGTTAATGTAAGTAGTCAAGGTATTTTTTTAAAAGCATATTTTATTTCATGCCCATGTCTTTGAATAATATTATATTAAAGTTCCTTATAAGAAAATCTCCTTTATAATAACAAAATTGATTTTGTTTTCAACTTTGCTGTTAAGATTAAAATGTTCCATCATATAGGTTAGAGCAGCTAGCCTTCACTGTATTATTAATGATACCATGCAGGCTCCTGTCTCTAGCTCAGAAGTAAAGCATCTGTCACCCATTGTCTTCTTATTCCACTTGTCTTTCTTTACTGCCTTTTTCTCACCAAGTAGAAAAGCAACTAATACTGGTAATTTATGAGTGTATTTTAGTACAAATGACTTTGCTTTATTGCCTTAACCAGCATCTTCACTTGAAGCCATTTGGTTTATGTCAGACCTCATGCTACAGTTGATTTTATCCTTTAGAGCTGACGCTTCCTGGTTCTTCCCCAGAATAGTTTTCTAGGGGCGCCTGGGTGGCTCAGTCGGTTAAACATCCTGCTTCGGCTCAGATCATGATCTCATGGTTCTTGAGTTAAAGCCCCGCGTCAGGCTCTGTGCTGACAGCTGGGAGCCTGGAGCCTGCTTCTGAATCTGTGACTCCCTCTCTCTCTCTGCCCTTCCCCCTGCTCACATTCTGTCTCTGTCTCTCAAAAAATAAATAAATATTAGGAAAAAAAAATAGTTTTCTAGATCTCCAAGGAGAGTCACTGGCTTTGGCTTTAGAAAGTCTGTTGCCAGGAGCTGCTGGGAACACAAGGCCCTGCCTTTTTTCATCCGCCTTCTAATCTGCTAAGACTCAAACCGCCCACCCAAACACTGGTTCATCAGTAGGGCCCACTTCCTCCAGACTCTGCATCTGCCTTATCCCCAACTGAAGCACAGGTTGGGGGCCTTTTCCTGCTCCTAGAAGATTCTTTTTCAAACATAATTTCACTTGGCACCTGGGTGGCTCAGTCGGCAAAGCATCTGACTCTTGATTTCGGCACAGGTCACGACCTCAGAGTTGTTGAGATTGAGCCCCAAGCTGATCTCAGCATGGAGCCTGCTTAGGATTCTCTCTCTCTTCCCCCCTCTCTCTGCCCCTCCCCAACGTGCACTCACATGCGCGCGTGCGCGCGCTTTCTCTCTCTCTCTCTCTCTCTCTCAAAAATAAATAAATCAACTTAAAAAATAATTTTAAGAAACCTCCAATGTGTAACATGGAAGCAGAGCTGTTCTGAATGAACCAAGAATTGGGGGTGGGAGCAGTGTCAGGGCCCTGACTACCTTGCTTCGCTAACACAACCCACCCTCATCTGGAGTAAGGATCACAGGTAAACAAACACTTTATATTTTCTGGCACTTAAGTATGATTGTGATTTGTTCTAAAATCACAGGATTTCAAGAGAGGAATTCTCTTTTCCACTGTCTTTCAGCTTCTGAGAACGAAGTTTCTGCAAAGTATAGCATAGGACTGGGTCCTCTTTGGTAATTGCTGTAATTATGCAGTGGTTTATATTCAGTCCCTCACAGCGATGTTTGGCATTTTTTATAATTAGCAATGGAAGTTGAGTCTCAACTGTTATAAATATGTCTACTAATAATATCTTTCATTTTGTCTAGGTGAAAGTTTGGTAGTTGTGAGACTTTTTCTTTTTTTTTAAGCTTCAGAATTACTGCTCTTTTCCCTTAGTCTAGGTAGGATAAGAGGAAGCTGCACCCCTCGGTCTAGCAAGAGTGGGATGGGGTGGCCAGAGCCTTGGCCCCTGATCCTGGGCTCTCCCCTTCCGTGGCAGTCTCTGAGGTTGGAAACCACTGAATTATGTAATAACGCTTTTAATTAATCGTAAATCATGTCGCAACACTGTAAAATGTCTTAAAAATCATCTAGCTTATCTGATTCATCTCTTGTTGTAAATGAAACTCTTGCTACTTTTTTCAGTAGCTGGATTATAATTTCAGTGTGGGGGTTTAACCTGCTTTTCCTAATGCAAAGTATTTTGTTTTTTTAATGTGGTTTTGAATTAAGCCCTTATAGGAAAACCACTTTTCTTATAGTTTGTCTTTTACTCACACACTACTGCCACATAATATTTCTGACCCCAGATATGCAGGTTTTCCACACATCAAGCAGTTCTCTTACACCAGCTGGGTATCTGAAATTCAGCTCACTTCTGATGTGGTCTACCTGGAGTTCATCACACCCTCAAGTTAAGGGCTCAGTCCCACGAGATTACCCCCACTTCAGATACCAGTCAAAAGTTTTAGGTTGTTACCTGTGCTTCTGACCAACTAGCTCTAAATCAGCGTTCCCATGACCTGCTCCTTGGGTTCAGTAATTTCAGCCATTCAGTAGAATGGCTCACAGCACCCAGGAAAACAAATACTTACTATTTGCCCATTTATTACACAGGTTGTAATAAAGGATACAGGTGAACAGCCAGATGAAAAGATACGTAAGTCGAGGTTGTGAGAAGGGACCTAGAGCCTCCATACCCTCTCTGGGCGTATCTGTCTCCCAGCACTGCCAGGTGCTCACCAACTCGGAAGCTCTCTGAATCCCATATACAGATTTCTCTTGCCATCTAAAAGTCGACTTAATGCCTCTTTACTTTTACGAAAGGCCTGCGTTAGTACGTTTTTTCACTAAGAACGAAATCAGAAAAGGATTTTTGCTTTTAGGGAATGTTACTGCTTCCTCACATTATGCCTCTTCAGCTTTTTTAAGGTTATAGTTATGGTTTTATCTACTTTTAGATGGCAGGGGAAGCCTGTATTTTGAGATTCTGATGAACGCTTCATCGTACAGGCATGATCAATCATGAAGTCAGTCTCCAGACCCTCTCCTGGAGGATGGGGACTGGGGCTGAAAGTTGTAAGCTTCTACTCCTAGCCCGGTCTTTCTAGTGACCGGCCCACATCCTGAGGCCATCTAGGAGCCTACCCAGAGTCTCCTCATTAGAACAAAAGATGCTTCTATCACTCAGGAAATTCCAAAGGATTTAGGAGCTCTTTGTCGGGATCCAGGGTCAGAGACCAAACGTGAGAACATAAGGTGCTCGTGGTGCCCTTACCACTTAGGAAGTTACAAAGGTTTTAAGAGCTCTGTGCCAGGAACCAGGGGCAGAGACTGATATACAGATACGTATTTCCTACCTTTGTTTCCTACTGGTTCACAGCTCCTAAAAGCAGTATCTGTATCTATCCTAACTGTGGAAAAACCCAAAACGGTACTGCAGCACCACATGCCAGTTAGGTACATGGCATTAATGAAATTCAAGGTGATTTTCTTCTAGTAATTTGTGTTTGAAACCAAGAGAGCCTCCGGTTGGTCACTGTGTATGTACAACATTGAGCTTTAAAGCATTCTTAATTTTTTAAAGACTGTAGTCTAAGATTGAAGCAGTGCTGTTTCCCATTATCTGCCTTATAAAATCAAGTAACACATTCCTTTCCTAGACACTACAGCACAAGCCAAAATGCACTAATCCCAAGTGGTCGTGAAACATATACATCACAGTCCTTCAGACACATATTCACAGACTTAAGATTTCTTTCGTTTGATACCCGGACTGTGTACTCTGGTGTCTTGTTGACTCCTTACTAAGACCAAAAATCATCCTACATTTTTCTCCCTTGAAAATAGTTGCAGTTTTGATTTTTTTAATAAAAGGTCCTTTGTACACATACATGGAATCACTTTAAACCTGAGCTTACTATGCTTTTTCATCCTGCCTCCACAGATATTCCTGCTATTACTTACATGTTCTATTCTAATCCTCTGGCGCCTGACCCGTGTGCCAGGTGTTTTGAGAAGACAAGTTTGTTTCTTCACACTTCTTTGCAATATACATCACAAGCATATTTTTGTATTTTAAGGTCAAAAACGAAAGTCCTTCGTTTGTGTATGAACAGCAACGGTAGTTTTTCTTTACTGTAAAACTCATAATCCACTTCTCAACTTCTCAAGTATGTGTTTATTGGTTAAAATAATCCATTTCAAGTAAAATTATTTTTGACTTTTTTCCCTGGCCTTGACTATGCATACCCAGGACTTCCCTGAAAGTTGGAGACCAGTATTCGTGTCCGTTTTAACTGAAGTTAGAGTCTTCAGTATGTCACCCGGGATCGCAGAATTTCTTCCTACTGGAAATCAAACTTCAATGTGTTCCCAGTACTTGTTAGCGCTCCATCTGATTTAGCTGTCGTGGGTGTTGCCATGAAGTAGAGTTTCTGCAGGAAAGCAGGGGGCTCTAGTATTATAAAATTCACCTGTTTTTTATGTTTTAAAGAAAGCCTAAAGAATCTAGATTATTTTAATTTTGCTCTGTTTTCTAAAGTGGCTCTTGTTTTTCTGTTGGGATCTCCCGGTTCTTAAACAGTATTGGTTTAATAATTTTTTTTAAGTTGTGGACTGTTTTATGCCTTTCAGATTAGTAGTCACTGCTTTCTACCCCTTTTTACACACTCATAGCATTCTCCCATTCTTAACCTTCTACCCCACGCATCCCACTTTCCTTTTATACTCTTGGCACCCTTCCCTCAGCTGCTGCCACCACCTCATAGAGTAGATTCTGGTCTCAAATCAAAAGGTGAGTGGACTTTCTGGAGAAAGAAGGAACAATTTTTTTCCTGTTTCGACCTCCTACCAGTTCCAGCCAAGTAGCATTTAGGAGTTCTAATTTCCTTCCAGTTAATTTCCAGTAATGTTTTCTCCCCTTTTTGGCTAAACAGTATTTCATCTTTCTGTACTAGATGAACTTTAATAATCACATGCCTGTTAGTCTTAAGATGTTTCAGTGGTGGCTTTTTGTACATTTGCCATATCATCCATCAGTGGGATAGATTCTTTCTTGGTTACTTACGTGCAATTTCAGGGCTAACGTCTGCCCACTTGTTGAAGTTTGTGGGCGGTTATCAAAGTAGGTTGGCAGTTCTGTGGAGGGAAATTGTATTTCTGCCATAAAACATCATACATGGGCAGTGTATCAGCCCTCTGAGAGTCTAAATACTAGCCATCTGGGCTGTTGGCCTATCTGGGAATGTTCTTGAAGTGTAGAAAATAAAACTTCCCGCTCCGTTGTTTTTTGATAGACAACAGTCAGGTGTAGGTTATCATTCATTTGTGCTGGGGAGCCCTCAGCATGTGGATTTGGCCATGTCCTGCAGGACCTGATGACAGCTTACCTTGCAGGGAAGGAGAGTCGCTCCCAGATAGCCCTCACGAGTGGCCCTGGAGCAGGAAGTGGTGAAGCAGATCTTCCTGATTTGGGAGGAGCCTGAGGTGGACCTCTCGTCCTGAGTCTGGAAGGTAAATTTGTTGTTACCTGTAAATTATGGTTCTGCTAGTTCATGCTATGCCAATCCAGACTTTCAGAGGTATCCCTCCTGCCAGCAAGAGAAGACAGATGACTTGGATGAAGATGGCTGTCAAGCCCTGGGTCATTTAGTCTTCCACACTTAAGAATATTCATTTTAAACAAAAGGGCAGATATATCTATGAAATTACCTTATCATATCAACACATTGAGCACACACTATGTAGTAGTAACTATGGTGCTCTTTTTTGTTCTTGTTTCTTCGTTTTTTGTTTCTCAGAGTGAACCATATGGATTGGTTTAAGAGGGCCTAGCAGAACCACAACCTTACAGGCAAGAACAAATGTCACTTTCTGCTACTTTCTCCTATACCAATCCAGACTGTAGGGACAAAAACATAATATCCCCCAATAAAGTGAATATTAACCTTTTTTTTTTAAGTGAGCAATATATTGACACTTCATCTTCTTTAATAAAATGTAACTAAAAGTTATTTTCTCCAAACAATTGTTAAGGCTGAGAAAAAAAAAAAAGTTGGTATGACATTGTCATATCTAGCTCGAAGAGGAGTGCTGTATGCCAAATTCACTTAACAGTGTGCCAACCTCACCCCCAGCTTATCGGCATAACCATGCTTCTTTCTTCTCAACAAAAACTAAACCCATTCCACAAGATTTGGCAGCCAAACAAAGAGGGATTGATACCCTACCTTAATTTAGTGCATACATTTAGCTGCATCTATCTGCTCTAATTGGTTCTTCCTCACAGAAATGAATACATGGTCTTGGTGTTACTATATCTTAGCTTAATCCACGTTACCTATCATCCTTCCAGCCTCTCCTTTTCTGATCGTATCTGCTGGCAATAGGGATGGCCCTACAGTCTAGAATGATATAGGGGGAGATAGCAGAACCTGAAGAGTCCAGTCTTTCAGTTCAAAAACAGCAGCAAGAGGTAGTCGTATTGGATGTATTGTTTTATTTTTGCACGGCTCAGGGAGATAGTTTACATGTACTCTTCCAGAATCACAAATATTTGAGGTAGGCCACTGTCTCCAAGTTACTAAGGTATATTCATTGCTTGCTACTTAAAGTAACCACCATAATTTGATTCTGTCTTTGGTTTCCAGACTTACTCTAGTTCAGTATTAATTTGACCTTTTCTTCCTCTCCTTCAGAAACGTCAGAACTATTGAGAGGATAGGGGTTGAGTACTGTTTTAGGCTAATCCTCCTATTGGGTTGGCATCTACCAAAGTATAAGAAGCCTTGCATGGAAGACATTTGCCCACTGTTCAAATTGGCTAGATCGTGTAACTCGTAGATGTCTTTGTTTAGTCATCTTTGAGCTCTGAAGCCGTTTTGTCTTTTCCTGATTTGTTCATATTATCAGGTCTTTTATAACCTCACCCAGTCCTTTTCTCTGTGTTCAGGGTTCTAAGTTATATTTAATGAGGAGCCAATTATCAAGGCCACAGAGACTATTTAATATTATCAGCATTTATGTTCCTAAATTCACTTATTTGACTTAATTAGCTATTGCATAAACTTCAAATAATTGTAAATGGCCTCAAGTTGTAAGGATTAAAATGTAATGGAAATTATAATTTGGGAACATGGTAGATTTGGGAAAGTCTCTTCATGATGCTCTTTTAATCAGTTTCCTGAGTCCCCATCATAACCATGTAGTGTGGAGGCTAATGATTACCAGTTCTAACACTGAAAGTTTCCTCTTGTTTGTAGTAATTCCTGCATGAGAAATTTAGAAATAATAAGTTACTTGACAATTTACCACGGTATGCAGCTCCAAAAACTCTTCAACTCCACCTTTTTTAATAACTTTAGCCAATGTTTTTGCCATATCTGTTTTAACAGACTCTATTTCTATTTTATGAATTTAACTTAAGTTGAAAATATAGATAAGTTTTGTTTCTCCTGTTAATAGAAACCACATGCTGATCGGAATTATTTTTCTTTCTGCTCGTTAGCCAGATCCTTTAAAATTAGAGGTTGAGGTAAAGTGCATTCATTGAGTGTATATTAAAAATAACAAGTTTCTTAAATCGGCTTTATCCTGTGAAATCTGTTGAGTTTGTGATTCAGCTTTTATAAAAATTGCTGTTCAAGTCTTATATTAGAACAGTATTGGATTTTGAAGTTAATGTGGATCTATTTTAATATATGTGAATTCTCTTCATCTTGAGCTTGCCCCTGACACTGGCTTTTTCCCAATAGAATTCTGTGAAAAGGGAAATAATAATTATATTTTTAGAGAAAAATGAATGAATTAAATGGCATTTTTAATTTAATATTTCCGTTATTGATGGTAATGCTTATTTTAAATAACGTGTTTTAGGCTTTATGTTAATAAGATGATAATTGAATAATTTTTATATGACAGGCACCTATGGGGACCTGCTGGGGTGATATCTCAGAAAATGTGAGAGTAGAAGTTCCCAATACAGACTGCAGCCTACCTACCAAAGTCTTCTGGATTGCTGGAATTGTAAAATTAGCAGGTGAAAGCACATGTAATAATTTACCCGAAAATGCCAATTATATCTGTAACTTTTAAGAAAGCGTATTTGTAAATTTTGCAATTGTTGCCACATAAATAATAAATATGATAACAGGGCAGAGGTTAGCAAAAAAAATTTTTTTTCTATAAAAGCCAGGTGGTAAATATTTTTAGCTTTGTGGGCAGTACAATCTCTGTCACAGTTACTCCGCCGTGCAGTTGTAGCATGAAAGCAGCCATAGCGATACATAAATGAATAGGCGTGGCTGTGAGCTGGTGACACTTTATTTATGAGCACTGAAATTTGAATTTTATAGAACTGTCATGTATCAAGACATGCAACCATTTAAAAACGTAAAACCAATAAAAGTAAAAATGTAAAACCATTCTTAGGTGGCAGAGTGTAAAACACATCAGAGACAGTAGACCAGATCTGTGGGCCAACCTCTGGTATAGGGAAATACTTTGAAAGGTAACAAAAACCTGAAGTGCTAAGAAAAGTGGTAATGTCCATAACCCAAAAGTAAACTAGTGTTGATAATTTCATACATCTTAGGATCTTTTTCTTCACCCCCACTGCTTTCCATGTACCCTAGTCCTTGTTACCCTCTGGCTCATCACGTAATGCATTAGGTATCTACTGTGTTAGACATGATGCACAGTGATGTACAGAAGTGTAAAACCTAGTTTATTCCATGACCTGATATCTGCCAAACGCGGACTACCTTTATGATGAGGTGCTCAGTGAGTGGTGCGGTGGGGCACTTGTAGCACTTTATGGCAGGCAGGGGTGTGGGGGTGCACAGCCATTCAAAAGATAAGAAGTTGTCCTTAAATTAGTGAGCAATATCTCATGCATCCTACTTTTCCTATTTCTCTCCAGCCATTCTCCCCCAAACACCCTGCCCACTGCTCACTATGTACTGCTGACAGCCTTGATCTACTAAACATGATCTTCTGTTTTTCTGCTCGAGCACTTCTGATGGCTTCTTTGTCCTTAAAGGATCAAGATGGTTGGCATTTACAGTTATTGATGAGTTGCACCATAGACTACTAGCCAGATTTTTGGTTGCTCCCCACCATAAATGCTGTCTATGTCCCGATGAGGCTAGTACTCTCCCTCCTCCCTCATAGAACACATTGTCACCTCTGTGCCTTTGCACATAACATATTACCCAGTTCAATTCCCACCTTTCCCTTGAAACATTCCCCCGGCTGTTTAAGCCTTCTCTAAATCTTGCATTATTCTCTATACTATAATTTAAAACAACATAATCTTTCTGTTCTAGATGTTTAAGCTAGTTGCATTTAAATAGCTCTAAAGATCAATGCGTTTAATATCCAAGAATTATTTCTACCTTCCATCTCCAATTTTACATTTCTGTTTTATCTCATTGCACCACGTATCTTATTTTAAGCCACTTTAATGACGTTTTAGAATCAAGCCTGATGTTAATCATGAACTAGAGCTCGGCAGCAGTTGGCAACTCATGAATTATGTTGTAAATTGTTGAATTTTGAAACTAAAGGTTTAATGCTATAAATTTTCTCCATGGATCTTAACACGTGAAAATGCTGCTGAACTGAGCTCCCTGCCTAGAATATAAGTTTGTTGGGCCTTTTTATTCCCCTGAAGGCCTTAAATTAAACTGTAATGTTGCCAACAGAAGGTTTATTAAATTATAAATAGGATATATCATACACTTTTTGTTCTTCTTAAGAAATAAGTCATTTCACATACTTTCTTTGGTGTTTATTGAACTTTTTTACTTAGTATTTTCACATTTTGTTTCCAGATAAATAGGACAGAAAAATTTGGGCTCTTGAGGTAGCCACATCCAAATCATCCCAAAATAATTGGTCATCTAATCAGCTGGACAAAGCAGTTTCTTTGAAATGACTTCAACTGGATTTCTATGATGTCTTGACAAGATTTTCCTAACTTAACCATAACCTTTTTTCGTTTATTTTCAAAACTACACATTCAAGTAGGACTTTCCCACCCTTGTTTTCACTAAGAATTTATTTTCTAGAAAATTTAAGAAACTATGGGTAAAATTGAACTCAATATTTAAGGGGGGAAGCCATGTCTGAAAACAGTTAAACTACTGGCATTGTACCTCACCTGGGGACTTGTTAGAAATGCGTGTTCTCAGACTTACCCAAGATCGACTCACTCAGAATCTCTGGGGGTAGGGCCCAGCCCTCCGTGTGTTAACACGCCCTGCACATGATTCTGTTGCAGGTGCACCCTGACATTTGACACCCACAACCAGCGGCTGTGTCCTGTTTGATCCCATTCCATTTTTCTTACTGTGTGGTGATTGATTTGTTGGTTTCAGGTTACAATGCCCTTTTAAGATATGAAGGATTTGAAAATGACTCTGGGCTGGACTTCTGGTGCAATATCTGTGGTTCTGACATCCATCCCGTTGGTTGGTGTGCAGCCAGTGGCAAACCCCTCGTCCCTCCCAGAAGTAGGTGGCCTATTTACCCTCACTGTCATTGAAATATATGTACTTTATTGCAGTGTCACACGTAGTAACATTCAAGTGATACAGAAATTAAAGTAATCATTTTTGGTTTTAAGTAACTTCTCTGATGGCAAAACATGCTCGTTTTCTTTATTTTTGTGACTTTTCTTCATAACCTTAATGCTCTGAATTGCAGGGGAAAATTGTTATTTTTTTAAAAATAGTTTATGAAGCAATTCTGCTCTTTGCTAAAGTGTAACTGGTTATTTCTTTTGTTTTAGCTATTCAGCATAAGTATACAAACTGGAAAGCTTTTCTAGTGAAACGACTTACTGGTGCCAAAACACTTCCTCCCGATTTCTCACAGAAGGTAAAGACAGGATCTTAGAAAGGACTGAAGTGTCAATTGAGAGCTCTGAAAAGGAATAGCCTAGAAGTTTTTAAAGGAATTGTTTTCATTTAGTGAGCCAGATGATCTAGTTAAATATCGAGTGCACTCAGTATTTTTAATGGTACAAAATTGAAATCAGTTGTAGAGTTCTGTCATGAATTCCGAACAGTTTTTGTCTGCTTTTGTTTAAGGTTTCAGAGAGTATGCAGTATCCTTTCAAACCTTGCATGAGAGTAGAAGTGGTTGACAAGAGGCATTTGTGTCGCACACGAGTGGCAGTGGTGGAAAGTGTCATCGGAGGAAGATTAAGACTAGTGTACGAAGAAAGTGAAGACAGAACAGATGACTTCTGGTGCCATATGCACAGCCCGTTAATCCATCATATTGGTTGGTCTCGAAGCATAGGCCATCGATTCAAAAGATCTGGTAAGCACCTGTCACAAGCCCGCCTATTGAAAACATCATTGAGGCTGAATTGTACTACCGTGGTTATCTTTCTTTACAGAATAGAAAAGATCCGAAATAGCATTCTAATTGTCTGGGCTGCTTATTCTACCTTAATTAGGGGATGTTCACACCAGAATATGAGTGTCCCGGCTAACTCCTTTATATTCCTTCCATTTGTTCTCAATTAAAATATAATGCACTTTTGGTCACAACTACATTTTGTTCTCTTCTACTTTTCTTATCCAGCCCATTTGGAAGATCCAAAGGTAGCCTTTCCATTTGCATTCAGTTTTAATCAAAATAGCAAAATTATATGTGGTTAGACCTAATACTGAACACATTAAAACATACTTCTGAAGCTGTGATTCCCTCACTAGGGAATTGCAAGCATTCTAATTGGCTGAGCGTATTTCATAGCACATGTACTCTGAAGAGAGCATTCTATTAAAGAATTATTTTTCACCATAAATGTAGAAGGCATGTATTTCTGCCATGTTTTAGAATATACATACCTTGTGAGTTTGAAACCTTCAAAGAAACGTGGTTTTTGGTCTTCTCACAAATGCTGACAGATTAGTATGTAACTTTTCCTTGTAGATATTACAAAGAAACAGGATGGACATTTTGATACACCACCACATTTATTTGCTAAGGTAAGAAGTTTTTATAAGAACCCTCATTTGTAAATTAGGTTTGAAAGAGGGTTGTGGGTTTTTTCCTAACATTATGGAAATCACAATTACATTTGTTCACTTAAAAGGATTAAGACCTTGTGATCCATAGGTGTCACAACTATTGATGATAATTATTCTTAAATTCTGTCCATTTGCCTGAACTCTCTCTATCCTCCGACGGAGGTTTGAGTTACAATACTAGGTAGGTAGGAGAAGGCATTTGGTTTTTTCATCTGGTAAACATTTTCAAAGTGGTAATATTTATTATTAAAATGATAACATTTGTAACAGCCGATGTGCTTTCATGTAATTCTTTAGGTAAAAGAAGTAGACCAGAGTGGGGAATGGTTCAAGGAAGGAATGAAATTGGAAGCTATAGACCCATTAAATCTTTCCACAATATGTGTCGCGACTATTAGAAAGGTAAGACAATAGGTTTTAAAGTATAGAAATGTAGTTGTAAGAACTGGGTTTAAGGTAATAGGGGAAGGAGGCCCTTAACATACTCACTTTGACATAAAATGTATGTATCTGGATCTTCACTGGGGAGAGGGTTGGTAGTAATTTTGAAATAAATTTCAGTTCTCTTATCAGTGGTTCTCTTTCTACGTAGCTTGTTGTCAAGATTGTCATCTTGAGTCTGCTGCCTCTAGTTCTTGAAATATGTATCCTGAGTTAGAGGAAGAATATTTATTTAAATTACTTCTGGTCAAAGCTAGTCCAACACAGAATTGCAACAAGGCCAAATTTATCTTCACTTTACTGTTTTTCCCTTTGTGCCTTTTTTCTTCTTTTGGTAGTACTTTATTTCTTCTTTTTTTCTCTCTTCTGAAGCTGCGTTTATGAAAAGGTCTAGAAGAGTGGTTCTCAGTTCTCCGTAGGCATCAGAACACCCTGGGAAACTTAAAAAAATACAGGTGACCAGACTTCTTAAAGGCCTACCCCACCCTGTTCCGATTTCATCAGTCTGGTGGGGGGCCCTTGCATTGGCATTTTTTAAAAGTCCCCAGGTAATTCTCCAGTTCCGCCATGGTTAAGAACCACTGATCCAGAGTCTACCTATATAAGGGTGGAGCTTAAATTGTGATTTGCATTTCAGCACAGTTTAAAGCCTTGAGCCAAAAGAATTAAAACCAGTTATGGTTGCTGCCATGTCCCAGGCACTTGAGCTCAAGGTCACACAGCTAGACAAAACCGGCTCCAAGTTTTTGTTCTTCCTCTTTACCTGACCCAGTGATCAGAGTCACCTGGTATGATTTCAAACATAGATTTCCAAGACCTACTCCAGACCTACTCGATCGGAATCACAAGAAGTATTACACAGGATAATGTATTTGTTTTAAAAATGATAAAGTTGTCTAAGTGATTCTGACAGTCAGGTTTGGGAACCAGTCCATTATGCCATGCTCTGTTCCATGAAATGAGAATGAAGCGTCCAGTGAGTAGAGCGTCAGACTTCGTTCAGGAATTACTTAGTTCATGCTTGCCACACTAGGTTTGGTTTGGACTCTAAATAAAAAGCTTACAGTCTTGTAGAACAAGGTAAGATACATAAAAATAAGTTTGATACAGGATTGACTATGACTTAAATGTACACAGTACTGTTGGGATTCACATAAAAGGGCACATTGTCTCAGAGGAATCAGGGAAAGCTCTATAGAAGGGAGGCTATTTGAAAACTTCACCTTGTAGGTTGGGAAAAACAGCCCAGCAGAGATGCAGGGAGGAAACTGTTGTGGAAAGAGAATGTGCACAAAAGCATCGAGATAGGAAAGCACAGGCCAGGTTTAGGAAGAGACTGAGTCATTCGTACAGTACACATCAAACAAGTCATACTGAGTATGGTGGTCAAGGCTTTTCTTTCATCAGGAACAGAGACCCATGCAAGTTAGCTCTAAGAAAGTTACCCTAAGGACATGGCAGTCTCACAGACAGACATGCAAGGACACAGGGACAAGAACTGGAAAGCTGTAAACCTGGTGTTATTCTCGGGGCTTCTTTGTCCCATCTCTTCCCTGCTCTGAGTCTCTGCCATTTTCCTTCACTCTTGTGATTGGTGTTCCTCTCACTCTGTCTCCCTGTGTGGCTGCTAGCTCCATCCTGTATCACAGCCTTTCAGGTCCAGTTCTGACCCATGACTTGACAATAGCCTCTGTGTCTGTTAATGGTAATTACTGAGAGAGATTCTAGCTGAGCCCAGCCTTTGGCTTCGTCCCCTAAAGGTTAGATACTAGCCCCCAGCCCAGTCAGCTGTATTTGGAAAAAGAAGCCGTGCTGAATGGAGGTAGCTCTTGCCAAAGATATAGGCAAAGCTGTTAAGCTGCAAGAGGAAGTTATTATACACATCCACTATAGTAGAAACCACTAGAAAAAAGGCACTTGGGGGCAGAGACTAAAAGATGATTTAGAACCAGGCATGCAGGCTTTGAATACTCGGTCAGGCCATCTGAGCTTTCTCTGGTGAACAGGTGAGTTGGAGAAGCTTTCTGGCGTGAATAGAGGTCATAACACAGGAAAGTTAAACTGTGTAAGAGGAGAAATGTCCGAAAAGGAAGCCTGAAAGCAGTGATCTCAAACAGTGCAGTGGAGACAGAATTCATGGCACAGAGAGGAACTAACATTAAGGGGAGTTGTGGGGTCTGGTGCTTGCTTACCTCTGAAGGTGACTTTGATAGCCTGCATGGACTCTGAGAGGGCGTGTGCAGCACTCAGGGAAAAGGCAGGACTGAGACCCTGCGAGGGAGACAAACTCCTGACTTCAATGGAGGAATTGTGGGTGTAGAGGTCAGTTATTGAAGCACTGGGTGTGGGTGATATCAGCAAAACAGAGAGAAAAGGGCTAATATCACAAATGTAAGGATTGGATGTGAAAGGACACTACCAAAAGAAGCATCACCAATCAGAAGAGGTGAGAAGGTCGGGCAGTAGACTGTAATGTAATGAGAGTCTGGGAAAAAACGTCACAGAAAGTTGAGAGTAGTCAGTGGATATCAGATATTTCAGGGAGGCTGAGGTTTGAGGAGGATAAGTGTTGGGAGAAAGGCTCTGGATTTGACAAACTAGGTCACTAGTGAAATTTGGCATTTCAGCAGGATCAGGACAGAAATCAGACTGCAAAGAGTTACATAGTATAAACCTTGAAGTGGGTCTCTGGGTGAAGTATATAGGAGTTCACTGTGCTATTTTTGTACCTTTTCTGTAAGTGTGAACGGTTTCAAAATTAAATATTTTTCAATATTTTTAATGTAATGAAAATTGGGAGACGTTAGATTATACAAGATAGTGTTTTTGGAGCCAGGTACCAGTGGTAATGGTACAAGATGGAAAAGTTATTTTGTGGGGTGGGGTACTACCTCTTAAAATAGTCAGGGGGTTGGGGCGCCTGGGTGGCTTGGTCGGTTAAGCGTCCGACTTCGGCTCAGGTCATGATCTCGCGGTCCGTGAGTTCGAGCCCCGCGTCGGGCTCTGTGCAGACAGCTCAGAGCCTGGAGCCTGTTTCGGATTCTGTGTCTCCCTCTCTCTCTGCCCCTCCCCGGTTCATGCTTTGTCTCTCTCTGTCTCAAAAATAAATAAAGGTTAAAAAAAATTTTTTTTAAAAAAAATAAAAAATAAAATAAAATAAAATAGTCAGGGGTGCCAAAGAAGGAATATGGGGACCCTTGCACGGGGTGGCCTTTGTTTCTGTCGTACGGGAGCGTGGGTATCTGTAGCATAGGAGAGGGAAAGTGAAAGCTTGATGAAGGTAGAAAAGGTTTGGAAAAACTCCTCTGCGAAATCAGAAGGAAAGGAGGAGAGTTACCGAGTAGGACTCAGAGCCGCGCTGAGACTAGACGGTTAAATCGGAGAGGAGCACTCAGCCCTGTTTCATGGGCCACAGCAGCCAATTCCTCAGCCATCCGCAAAGGCACTGCTTTTCCTACACCTCTGAGGTCACTCTGTGTAACCCTGCTTTGGTTGCTGGTGCACACTGCAGTCCGCATAGGTTCTTACCGTTCAAGTTGCTAGCGTAATTCAGTGAGGAGACCGTTATGGGGTAGATTTTCATTTCTTGTAGAATGTCACTTAAAGAATCACTTTTACAATAGTGGTGTCAAATTTCAAATACTTGAAATTCTCTTAATTTGAAAGGTGCTGGCTGACGGATTCCTGATGATTGGGATCGATGGCTCAGAAGCAGCAGATGGATCTGACTGGTTCTGTTATCACGCAACCTCCCCTTCTATTTTCCCTGTTGGTTTCTGTGAAATTAACATGATTGAACTTACTCCACCTAGAGGTATTTCATCCTAATATGAACGCTGGGTCTTTATCCTTGCCTTCTTTTTACGTGGTATCTATTTACATCATTTAACACAGCCCTGGGTTTTTTTTTTTGCTGTGTGGACATATTACATGTGTTCCTATATGCAAACATACATACACATAACAAGAGCTGTGGGGTGCTTTACACACATATAAAGCACTATATTCTAGCTACCTTTGATAAATTATATTAGTATAGAATTTTTCCTGCGTATCTGTACATTTTGTAATATGAATTGGTATTCTCGAGCCCTGTGGAGATGGTGATGTAGGTTATGGCATACATAAACGTTTTTTAAAAATAGATACAGGCTAAAGCCTGTGAGGGAAAGCAAGTTTCCATCTTTAGAATACCATGTGGCTTTTTTTTTTTTTTTAAAGGCATACCCTTAAATAGCTCTCAAGTCTTAACTAGTGACTTTCCTAATTTCAGTATCTGAGCGTTGGGTTTTTCTCTTCAGAAAAGAAGGGGGGGAAAACTAAAAACAGAGGCCTATAAAATAGCGTTTGCCCAGCAGAAAAATATCACTGTGACATATGAAATGCTAGACTATCCTAAGCGTAGGATTACAAAAGCAAAAGTTTCTAATTCTTCTGGTAGACAGGAGAGAGACACTCTTGCATTGGGTAAGTAGGTGCACCTGTGTCTGTCTAGAAAAAGAAGAAATCCTTATAACATGGAGGAATTATTGCATTAAATAATGTGAGTGCAAGAGTTAAAGTTTATTATATAATCTAAAATCCCGAGATTTTAGTGTGTACTGAGTTAACCTTTTATATCTACGTTTTAATATGATGGTAATTTTAAATGAACTGCCAGTTAAATCAGGTGTGTTTTTTCAGGTTACACAAAACTTCCTTTTAAATGGTTTGACTACCTCAGGGAAACTGGCTCCATTGCAGCACCAGTAAAACTATTTAATAAGGTAAATTTAAATAATGGCATAATTATGTGGAATTTTTTTGATGCCTCACGAATGCAGATCATTGTTGGTCAAAATGTGTTTGCTTGATATTAGAACTTCTTAATGGAGATTAGTATAAACAGAACAATATATTTTCTTTACCTAGGAAATGAAGCTTGTTTTCAAACTTTGCTTCATTTTTAATCTGAGTAAAACAGAAATTAATACATTTCCTGACTAGTTCTGAAATGCTTCACCTTCACATGCTTTAATAATTAAAGAAGAATTTGCGAATTTTTTTGGTTTAAATTAGGTTATTTGGATCCGTCGCTGCTTTTGTTTCTTAGTGATGGTGGACTCGGGCGTACTTCTTCTCACCAGTGTTCCTGTTGTGCTTCTCCATGTCAGGATGTTCCAAATCACGGATTTCGTGTAGGAATGAAATTAGAAGCAGTAGATCTCATGGAGCCACGGTTAATATGTGTAGCCACAGTCACTCGAATTATTCATCGTCTCTTGAGGATACATTTTGATGGATGGGAAGAAGAGTATGATCAGTGGGTAGACTGTGAGTCCCCTGACCTCTATCCTGTAGGGTGGTGTCAATTAACTGGATATCAGCTACAGCCTCCAGCATCACAGTGTAAGTTGGTATACAGAAAAGGTGTCCTTTTGTAAAAATCAGCAATTCTCCAGAGGACTATTTCACATAAATCATCTTGTGAGCTCACAGGACAAGAATATTCCTTTATCTGATTGGTTGCCAGGTAAGATCTTAAGATTCACCAACAATATCCCAGAATCAGACCAGTGTGAACTCAGTAGTCGGTTACATGATGACTGTAGAGACACGACAGTAAGAGCACCCACCAAATTAGACTTGTCTTAACGCGTTTGAAAGTATAAGCTAAAATTTATTGGTATACATACGTGTGTGTGTGTGTGTGTGTGTGTGTGTGTGTGTATATAAAATAAATGCTTATTGATTAAGTAGTGGCATCTGTGGTATCATGGGTTTTACAGGAACAAGCACCCTTATTTTCAAAGCATCATGTACTTTTATAAGTATAATGGCCTTGGTAAAGATAATCTATCTAAGTTGTATCTAGAGTTGTATGCTTGCAGTGCTTATCTGGTACCAATTTTCCCTTTTATTTTTCAGCATCAAGAGAAAGCCAATCAGGTTCATCAAAACAGAAGAAAAAGGCTAAGTCCCAGCAATACAAAGGACATAAGAAAAGTGGGTCACCACATGGTGTTTATATACATTTTCTAAGTTATTAACCAGTTGGGGTCATGGTTTTCTTGCACAGAAACGAATATACCATATGAGAGCCGATGACTGTGCATTATGTAAATTATGCTTAAAGGTGCAGTATGCCATAAAAGGCAAACCTTTTCAATAATGAGAAACACTTATGTTTTAGTTGACAGGAAACATGATTACCATCATATTTTAAAACCTATATGGTAAAGAAGAGAATACAAGTAGTTCCTGAAATAATATGCAAACCTACTGAAAATTAATTCTTTTTTTTAAACTTTAAAAAAATAAATACTTGATACTTACAAGAGACTTGGAGCCTAGGAAACCCATCTTCATAAACCAAAACAATCTTTCTAGAATGAGACTTACACAAAACTCAAGTTGATGGCTAACAAAGTCAGGCTTAAGAATATTTTTTTAAAGTGTGTTTTCTATATTATGTTTTACCTTACAGTGAATGATTATGGCCATTAATAGCCAAAATAACATAATGAAATACATCGATAACTCTATTCATATGAGTTGATAACTCTATTGATAACTCTGATACTGATATTGATAACTCTGTTGATAACACTGATAACTCTAATCATATCTAAAGATATGATTCTTTTCAAAGTCCCCCCACCATAGGAAACCACAAGTTTTTCTCTTCACAAAACTTGTCATGGAATATTTCGTTCTGAGATCAGATTATTTTTATGTAAGGATATTTTTAAAAGTAAAAAGTATGTTTGAGGATTAAAACTAAAACAGATTTTTCAAGCTGACTTGCCATATGTTCAAATAAGTGTTAATCTGTCTCATTAACAACCAAGAGACTGAAGCAGCATGAAGAACCAAATATACCCTTACTTTCTGATTATCGTCATTTATGTATAATTTCTTTCTCACTGGGGACTACAAACTTTCCCCACCCACTGCCATGGCGCTCTCATGTCCTCCCGGCATGGAACCCAAGTCAGATTCAACAGGGATAACCTCCAGGCCTTTCTCTCGCGCTCTCTTTTATATTAGAGGTATAGGTTTCCCATTTGCCCAGAGTTATTTTGCCCACTAGCTGCTTGCCGTGTTTGATATTCACCTAAAAGAACTTTAGAGAGCATTGCCAGACAGGCAGATGGAAGCGATCCCCAACATATCTGGAAATGATGAGGAAGAATTCACAAGGCAGCTTTGTCAGTGGACTAACCATAGCACATGTGATCTCTAAGCTTTCTGTGAGATTAGATAGCACAGCCTGCTTTGGCCTGTCTTCTCACTTTCTATTGGACAAGACTGAGAGAGATTTCAGAATTTTTTTCCCAAGGTGTTACAAACACTTATTACTCCGTGGCTATGTGACATACAATTTTTAGAACTAATTTCTGAGCACTGGGTACACAATTCACACACCTCCCTCACTGTGACTCTTGCGGGTTTGTTTCCAGCTTACGGGGTTTAATTATTTTGGATTAATGGGCCATGGGAAGAAGTAAGAAACTAATGAAGTGATATCAGTATGCCAGTTTATAGTGACATTTAATAGTACCGCATTTCTGGGTTAGCTGGAAAAAGGAATTCAGCTTTAAATGTATAACATGTTCTTTAACTGTAACATTGCAAGAGCTCTCGATATTGAGAGCAATATTGAATGCAAAGGCATCATCTTTGATGCCTTTAACTTGTCCTTTGGACATATGAAGGAAAAGGACTATAAAGCCACAGTCCCTTATTAGAAACCTTTGGGACCAGATGTGTTTTGGAATTCAGAATTTTTCAGATTTTAGAAAAGAAGTGTAGTACGTAGCATATATTATGTAACACTGCTTACAGACTCTGGCACATTTTCTGAGACAAAATATATGTAAATGTTTACATTAAGTGGGCCAAATAAAGATTATAAATAGTATCACCAAGTGAGATCTGGTTTTGTTGCCAAAGTTTTACAGAAAAACTGTGGATTTTGGAATTGAGGATAAGGAATATAGTGCCATGTGAATGAAGAAGAAGCAGTCTTCATTGTGAGGGTACTCTCTCTGTTCCTTTTATTTTTTTATAATGCTCACCAGATAGTTGATTAGAAATTTTTCCCACAAAACTTTACTTGCCCCAATAAGAAAGATTTTGGGGTCCATGAACCTAATTTGTCCATTGCATATGCAATGTCAACAGCAGATTGGCCACAAACCCTATTGTTTTTAAATTTGCCTACAGATTCTTTATGGCTCTGTGGTTTCATCTTCTAGCTCTTTGGTCTTTTTGTCCTGAAAATCCTCCATCAGTGTGTTCTTTGGTAGTGTTGTGTTTTTGTTTGGTTCGTCTTTTTTTTTTTTTTAAACAGAAATAGATGGTTGGCTTCATTGTTCTAGCTTGTTTTGTAATGATCTGTGTTCATTCTATAGAGGGACAACTTCTAGTGCTTTTAGAAAATAGGGTCATGTTCTGCCGAGAGGATCACATAGACCGTCGTATGCATGTGATCTGTCCAATCTGAAAAGCCTTAATTTTTTCAAGGTTTAGTAATTCTAGAGCAGGAAACCCAGTACTAATTTCTGAACCATCTTCAGGGGCTGTTATAGGTAGGAGAGAGTTGGAGAACCTCCTTGCGTTTTAACTTGCGAGTGTGTGGGACATGAGGAAAAGTCTAAACGATTGCTGCACGTGATTTTGGTTTGGCAGCTGCAAGTTGAATGTGTACTTGCGATTACATCTAGCTTAGTTATCAGACCATTTTACATAGGAGGTATGGTGTAACTTAGATTTATCTTGTAGCCCTGATTTCATGAAGCCTAAGTTCTGATTGCTCTTGCCTGAGTCATTTGTATACTCTGGAAGAAAACAGGTATAATTTCTAGTCCCAGAGATATGTAAGTATCCTTTAGCTTTCAACCTGACTAATGGAATATGTTGGTGGTTCACTATTTGCAAAGTTTAGTGTACTTTTTTTGCTGGTGAAAGCATTGTATAAGTCTTCGAAGGCTTATGTTTGCTTAGGAAACTATAATCAAAAGGGCGTTTCAGAAGATATTAGATTGCTTAAGTACTTGCGGGCAACAAGCTTTATATTTTAGAAATGGTTTTCAGTGTAAGAATTACAAGTGTTATCTAAAAGACTAGACTATAAACCAGAAGGTAGGGGAACACATTTCATATCGGTACAATCCTGCCACCTGGATACCACATTTATTCAACTGATTCTCCCTGAAAGCCAGTGTTTGGCCTTGTCTGGGCAGTGGAATGCTACCCTGCAGTCGGGTTTTAAAACCTTCTTTCTCTCCTGTTGGATTGTCAACCCCCTCAAGCTAAAATTTTCTTGAAGGAAGTTAGCCAGCTATTCTCCACACAAAATGCTCTCTGTAGTTCATTTTGTTTTATTTTATATGTTTTTAAGTATTTTGTTTTTAAGTAATCTCTACACCCAACATGGGGCTCACACTCATGACCCTGAGATCAAGAGTCAGCATGCTTCATTGACAGCCAGCCAGGCACCGTG